TTGATTTGAAAAAATCAAATCAAATTCAAATTGCTTAAATATTTGATTCGATTCGATTTTGAGGAACCCTAATAATAACAATAATATAAATATTGACAATACTGCTAAAATTTCTTCTTCAACTAAGGATAGATCCAAACTTTTGGATCCTAATGAGCATTTTGAAGACAATGATATAGAAGAAGATTTAAAAGATTTTACTGTTGTTACCAAAACAATACCCTTGCAGTTGCAAGTAGTATCAAGTTTACCCCCAAAGAAAAAAATAACAGCAAAATTATTCTGGCTATCAACAATATTTTGCTCAAAATAACGACTTCAGAGGAGTATCAGTCTGTCATGTAAATTTGATGCATTCTGTAATAGTCTATTTTGCAATGTCAAACATGACTGTCGCAGCTCTTCATGTGACCATTCCTGATCTTAAGATCAAAACATTCTGTAATTTCTCTCAATACAAGGCTGATATGCAATTCAACGAAAGGACCATCTATGTTACTGACATTCTACTTCAAATGAAACTTGCAACTATTAAAAATGTTTTTGCCAAATATAGGTCTGATACTGATTTTAGGATGACAGTAAGAGGCATATGGCAACATGCCTATATTACATATGATAACCCTAAATTTATCTATTTATTTTATTAAGTATGAAGTCATTTCGTTCAGAACGATTCTCTTCGTATCAATCCTTACTCTTTGACTTCAAAAGAAGTTAAATATAGAAACAAATCATCAAATCAAATTAACAAACCTTCCTTTTGGTACTTCTGCAAGAGATCTTCATGATATAATTCTTACAATCAAAGTCAAAGCTAGTTATATTTCAAGATTCAACAATTATAAACCTCGTTCCTTTGTTATTTTACATTTTGAAAATGAAGAGGCTCTTAATCAATCTACTTAACAAAACTTCGCTTTTGGCAACAATCAATTGATGTGATGTTCTTCTGATACTAGAAGTTGTCACAAATATGGCGATCTAGACCATCTTATTATGAAATGCACCTTTTTACAAAAATCAGTTTCACCCAATGAAAATAAAGATTCTATTAAACCAAATCACCTACTCAAAATAGTTCAATGCAAAGATTTTATAATAAATTTAATTCTACCAGTTTTAGAAAATTTGTGGATTCCAACAAATCCAATCGTTCTTCAAAATCTTATTCTGAAGTCATCAAAAATAAGAAGATTCCTATACCTCCACCACCAAAAGATACTATTAAACTGACTGTAAAAGATTCTATTCATAATCCTAATAATGATATCAATAACAAACTTGATCAAATTCATTCCATTCGTTCTAATATGAAAAAAGATATGAATGATCTAGATGCTAGAATTGCCAAGTTAAAATCCTTTCAAGTCTCTTTTCATATCAAGACTTTTGAGATTCCATTACCTATTGTCACTAAAGAAAAAGATCCTGTAATTATTACACTAGAGCTCTGAATCAGATCAGGTCAACCTGTGACCTGACCTGACCTAACCTGAAAAATCCAGGTTGGGTAGACAAATTTTCAGGTCAACATTAGGTTGGGTCAAGCTTATAACCCGACCTAATAAAATTCAGGTCAACCAATCAAATTAAATAAAATAAAATATTTAAAAAAAAAATTTTTTTTTGTCTATTTTTTTTAAAAAACATCTTTAATTTATTTAATATACTTTCTTTTTATATTCTAATAAAGTTGTTTGTATAATTACTTTGTAATTTATTATA